CCTGCTCGAGCGTGCCCTGAGAATCATGGAGCAGCACTACGGGAAAGATCATCCCGAAGTAGCCAAGACTTTGGCAAGTCTGAGCAATGCGCATGGAAGCCTGGGCGACCACAGCAGAAGAAGGACCTGCTCGAGCGTGCCCTGAGAATCATGGAGCAGCACTACGGGAAAGATCATCCCGAAGTAGCAGTGACTTTGACAAATCTGGGCAATGCGCATGGAAGCTTGGGCGACCACAGGCAGAAGAAGGACCTGCTCGAGCGTGCCCTGAGAATCCTGGAGCAGCACTACGGGAAAGATCATCCCGAAGTAGCAGTGACTTTGACAAATCTGGGCAATGCGCATGGAAGCTTGGGCGACCACAGGCAGAAGAAGGACCTGCTCGAGCGTGCCCTGAGAAGCCTGGAGCAGCACTACGGGAAAGATCATCCCGAAGTAGCAGTGACTTTGACAAATCTGGGCAATGCGCATGGAAGCTTGGGCGACCACAGGCAGAAGAAGGACCTGCTCGAGCGTGCCCTGAGAATCCTGGAGCAGCACTACGGGAAAGAACATCCCGAAGTAGCCAAGACTTTGGCAAATCTGGGCGTAGCTCATGAGTCTCTGGGAGATCTTCGCCGAGCAAAGGAGTTGATGGAGCGTGCTTTCAAGATTTTTGTGCAACATGGCCACCCCTATGCAGAGCAAGCTCAGCTTTGCCTGGCAGATATGGAGGTGAAGATGATGCCCTCAGTGAGGCCCTCAGTGCTGAGGGGCCTCGTGGAAGCCGTCCGAAGATCCCCCCAGGAGCCACAACCGGGGAAACTGTAATTGGGCAGAATCTTGAAGTTAGGGTGGGGGATTTCAAACAGGTCTACCGAGGCAGCCTTGAAGTGTGAACAACCTGAAACGGTATAATACTAATTGCGAAGTCAAGGGGGTGTCGGCACACAAGGTCCGATCCGCCTAACGCAGCTGCAAAGCTGCCCGCAACCTTTCACGAAGAGGTCGCGTCACCGTAGCGCCATGAAGCGCAATGTTTCCCTCCCTTAAGAGGTAATGCAGCGGAAGTCACTGCAAATGAAGTGAAATCCCTACAAAGCCCCTAGTGCATGGAGTGCACTTCACACGGGGGAGTGTTGGTGAAACTAAAATAAAGGAAACCTAAGGCCACTTTGGCCATCGTCGCCAGCACCATGCAAGAAGCCTGCCCAGGGCTTAGCAATGCCAGAGGGGCCTGCACAGGACCCAGATCAGCCAGTTGTCATAGAGACATCAGCTGCAGCAGAAGACGCGGCGCCAGCTGCATTTGAAGGTGCGCTGCCAGAAGAAGGTGCGGCGCCCGTAGGAGCTGCTCCTGGAACCACAGGAAACATCGGGTAGTCCGCGTTGGAGGTGTCGAAGAACTGAGCAGACACCAGCCATCCAGTCATGGCGTTGTGCAACGTCACGCCGTTCTCATTCCGGATGTGGGGCGTCATCACATCCTGAGCACAGGCTTGACAAGGCCACAGCTCTCGAACAAAAGAGTTGTGGAGGTGGTAGCATCCTCCATCGGTGTGCCACACCGTCCCTCTGTTCGCCACACAGATCTCACCGTTGCGGTGGTACCTGTTGTAGTGGTGTTCGAGCTCATTGTGGGCCCGGTTCATCACACGCATGCCACTGGTGCGTAACCTCTCATACTCAGAAATTGAGTTTTCGAGAGACCTGATGTGTCGCTCAAACGTCACCGCCTGCTCGTTCTTCTGGAAGTAGCTTTGCTCCAAAGCCAGCAGGTTCCGTTGCAGTCTGTCTGCTTTGGCCCGCTCCTGCTGTAGGGCGTGCACAAGCTCTGGTTGGGCATTGGCGAGATGACCTCGTAGATCTTGGATATGTTGGTTGAGATTGGCAATCTCTGTATGTTTTCGGCTAAGTTGCTGTGCCATCTCTTCCAAGGCTTCATTCCTTGAGTTGAGTTCTTCCGCTTCTCCTCCAGCAATCGCTCGAAGCGCTCAGCTCTGACAGCTCGCCGCCGCAAAACAAAGCGGTAGCCTTGATGCCATCCAAAAACCAATGCAGCCTTATAGGCAATGAAGACAATGGTGAGGAAGAGGATCAGGAGGAAGATGTCATAGGAGAAGTCGTAGAGGAAGTCAAGGACGTAGGAACCAGATCCAAGACCTTCGGTCTTCGGCTCATAGATCTGCAGTGGGCATTGTGCCACAGCGAAATCCTCAAAATTTGAGGGAAGCACTTCTGTCGCTTTCCCGGAGACCAGACAGCAAAATGCCGTCAACCATCTCATCCACCAAGATATAGAGCGACTTGCACTGGTGGCAAAGTCCCCGGTCGCCGTGTTGACATTCGTCAGGTCGGCAATGACCTCAGGCTCTTGCGTGATGGAGAGCTCAGGGTGCTCATAGTAGTTGGTCTCCTCATCGGCCATGACATAGTCCACAGGGTCAGCCATGTAAACATAGGACTCCATGTAGTGAGTCGCATGGCCAGGAACTTCATCATCTTGTGGTAGATCTTGATCAGGCAACTGCTCCTCTGCATCTTTTGGCTTGCTGAACTCGTTTTGGCTCTGCAGGCGTGTTTGGAGATCCTTCCGCTTTGAGGCTTGATAGGTGGGGTCCCAGGTGAACTTCAGGCGGTGATGCCGAAGTCGATCAGCTAGGAGCTGTCGTGTTGACTCTTTTGTGAGCCCATCGGCAAACTGCCGTTCAGAGCTATGCCACCGTAGTGAACCACCCAAGGATTGTAATCCTTCTTTGATCACCTTGACCTCCAAAGCGGTTCGACGGTCAGTCAGACCAGTCCCAAAGCCATCTCTGTGGAAGCTGTCGTACAGGGCTTTGGCGTCAGTCACCAAAACAGGTGCGAGAGATGAGGGTCTCTCCAGGATCTCGGCCTCGCGTCGGGGTCTTTGAGGCACTCCCAGAAGCGACATATGAAATCCACGCTGTCTTCAGCTTGGCCAGCGGCTTGGGCTTCGGCGCCAAGGGAAGATCGTGTCACCCGAGGCAGCTTCGAGCTTTTCCAGTCGATGACATGGTATGGACACTCTTGTCCATCAAAGGCCTTCTGGTTGATCAACATCGTGATCCAGCCTCCTTGTGAGGAGTAGTCTCGGCGTATGCCGAAGGCAGCATCGAACTGGCAAACCAAGCGCAGTGAGTCCACAGCACCCAGAGGTTCATAGCAAAGCTTCACATCGCTGTTGTTCTTGGCGAACTTCAGCAGCTTGTTTGCTTCTTGAAGGCTTTGAACCAATCCAGCACTGATGTTGCTGGCAAGCAAGGAAGTAGAGCACTGCAGGTGCGGTTGGCTTTGAACTGCTGGCCATTGCAGTGAGCCAAGTAGAGCTCGTAGTTGAGATGTCTCGCTAGGAGTCATCACATCATCAGGAACGCGTCCACGTGCCACAGGGATCGGCTTGACCTTCTTCAGGAAGGGGTCGTGGTGAAGAGCCCAGCCACCAGTTGGAGTCTTTTCCAAGGAAGCTCCACAGTATTCCAGCTTGGCATCAGTCTGCCATTCTCTGAAGTTGAAGGCTTGCTTGAGCTCAGCCTCTTTGGCCTGATACACCTTTGAACTCGTAGAGCCACCACCCAGCATGTCATCCACATGGATGCAGACCATAGCACAAAGTCCGTGAGGTCCAAGTAGCTCTTCAGGTGGTGCAGGTTGTTCACGACCTTCAGGAAAGTCTTGCTCGTAGAGCAGGAAGGTGCAAGGGTCAAGAGGGTGTACTCTGAAACCCAAACCAAGCAGTCGGCGTGAGGCCTCCAAAAACCATCTTCTGGGCGCATCCAGCTGACCATAGATCGGCTTGTGGAGGAACATGCGAACATCAGGTTCACAGCCCAAGATCGCCAGAGCGGCGTCGCCGTTGGCGTGGAGGTTGGAGATCATCATCATCGTCCCCTGCTCCATCGCTCATCTCATCATCATCCAAGTCGTCCAAGTTGTGCTTGTTGATGCGCTCCAGGTCCAAGAAGCGCGTCACACCACGTGAGCGAAGTCCAGCAACGGCTTTCTTGGCCTCCTTGGCGTCCTCGATCTGGTTGGCCATGGACGTCAGGTCAGCACGCACATGATGTGGTGCACATCGCAGCAGTTGTGTCTTCCAAGCCAGCCAGTAGGTGTGGGGTGCTCCTTGATCATCATCTTCTCGCATCACCACACGCGCTGGGCCGTGCCATCTGATCTTGGTGAGCTTGTCCTCCCTCTGATCACGCCAAATGTGGCAAAGCTGTCCAACTTCGATTGGGAAGTTGGTGCCTTGGTACTGTCGGAGTAGTGCTCTTCGGAGCTTGGAGTCCTCTTCGGCCTGAGCCAGAGCTGTCTTGGCGGCAGTGCGGTTCTTGAGGACATTCTCAAAGTTGTACTTGGATGACCGTAGGTACTTACAATTAGTTATCCCACTTAGTAAGTGTTTAGCCTACTTATAACCTGGTTATAACCATGGTTATCCCACTTACGTAACCATGGTTATTAACTAGGTTATCCCACTTACATAATCATGATTAGCCCACTTATAACCTAGTTACCTAACTAGGATAACCATGACTAACTAGAATTTGGGGGTATAGGAAAACAAAATCGAACCATCTGTTTTTTGGATGGAACATTGTTTTTGTAAGAAAAATTGCGAGCCACAGAGGCCCTGCAAGCAAACTGCGAGCTTTGAAAATAAAGCCCTGCATGGATGCATGGGATCAATCGATCCAAACACGCATGGCTATAGATGCTGCCATTGCATGTTTCAAATATGCCTGGAATGCAAAAAAATGTTGGCATTGCTTATGCGTATGGCTCGCCTTGAGGAGAACTGCAGGGCCACCCACGGCTCGCTGAGCCATTGCCCAAAACCGCGGAACCTGCCATCAACCCAATTCCGAACCTCTTCTTGGCGCATTCCTGGCAAAATGATTTGGCTGATCACAGGTGATGCAATGCAGGTCTGCGAAGTCATGACTTTCATGGCCATTGCAGTTCATGTGAAGCTGATGCAGGGGACTGGGCCAACATTTTCAGGGGATCACGGTTGCCACACCTGAATTCACGCAAAAAGGAAGTGCTCTTTGCAGGCTTCCAGTAGGAACTAATTCTGGCACATCAGTCATTCGAAAAAGATTGTGGCCTTGCAGAGGCGTCCACTTAGAAATGATTGAGTGAAACGATGTGCCATGAATGTCTGACACAACTTGCACGTGAAACCAAATCTCAACGATATGTGTGGATGTGCAAACTGCATCTCCACGGCTCATGCTTTCATAGTTGCATTGAGCTTCTGAAGCTACAAAGACTCTTACGGATGGGTCCAGGGTCAGCCCAAGGGTTTGTTTCAGCCCATTGGTCATGTCAACTGACGCCTCCTTTGCATCAATGAGTTCAATGCCGCCTCTGCGTTCCCATTCCTGCAGCTCCAAGTATTGGGACAACACGACCTCATGGATGACGCCATGTTCCCATGACATTTTTTTGTTTGCATTTGTACTGTTGTTGCCGTGTCGCTTGAGGGCACGGTGCTTCCTTTCGTGCGCCCAGCACGATGCCAGCGTGCCATCTCTGGCCAGAATCTTGGGTAAGTGCAAACTATAATGTGTTTTCGGCTGCATGCTCTTGGCCTTATAGGCATCCAAACGGGCGGTCATGTGAGCTTCGATAGATTGCTGGAGTTCCTGGGAAAGCAGCTGGAATGTTGCTGTGCGATGACAATCTTGGGAAACATGAAAACAGTGGGTTCAAATATATAAAATATAATCCTGGGAAACAAGAAAGCACTGGGTCCAAATAAAAAAATATATATATATATATATGCAATTTGTCAATGAAAGCTGTCAAGGTTCATCCGGTGACACTGCCCCTTTCCGGGTCTTCACCAGAAGGTCCAAAACTGCAGCTAAACAATAGTAGCTCCTGACCGCCTTAAATGCTGCTGACTCTGCTATAGACTGCGGCACTTTGGTTTGCAAGAAGCATCGCACTGAAGGATACAGAGACAACCCTTCAGAAGCTGAGCAGGACAAGTGTCCCTCCTTGTGCTTCTCGACTACTTTGATACCAGTGGTGCCTTTGGAGGAAACTTTCTTGGGCCACGTGACAGTTTTGAGGAAATTGGCTAAAGCTGGAGCTCCCATCCCATGCTCTTTGTTGAGCACATCAAGCAACAAGGAAACTTCAGAGTTCCATAATCCTGAAACCAAATAGATGTGCATCCAATCGTAGGATGTCATGGAGACAGCACCGGGAATGGAATTCATAAAGTTCTCATCATAAAGTGCCCCCTCAGCCGCGAACGTCAATCCCAGTGCCTTTTCTAAATCTTCAAAAGCTCCCTTGCCCAGCCTGCCCTTCTCCAAAACCAATTTCTTTGCAGCTTGGTTGATAGATTGGTCTGTGTGCTGTGCACACATGTTCAAAGAACAAACATACGATGGCACAAGTCTGCCGGTCCTGTCATGAGCTGCCAAATCCAACAAGTGGTTTGTGACATTTTGACAAAATATGCAAATGAAGGTTCCAGAGGATCCTTTGTTGCTCCAACACTGTTTCAATGCCGCTTCGTCGCCCAAAAGGACCTGGACCTTGAAGAACACATGAGAGCAAGATCCACCCAATGGCAAATGAATGCCAAGTCTTCCATCCAAAGGTTGAGATTGAAAGAGTTTGCATATGTGTTTCCAAATTTGTGAGTATTGCCCCAGCACCTTCTTCACATGGACGGTTCTGCAACAGGTCAATTGGAACCATAGTTCCTCCCGCCCCAACTGCCCTTTGAAGTCTAATATACTCCAGTACCAAGCCACCATCTTCCTCATGTTTGTAGCCTTTAACTGGTCGCCTGGTAAGATTTCGTCGCAGTAACAAATTATTCTGAACGGAGCTGCTGCGCTGTTGCCCACAGACTCTAGCACACTTTCAAAATATTCGCGAAATGGCCTGCAATTTTCCAAAGTGACATAGAGCAAGGCATAGGGATTGCAAACAGGAAGCTGCAGCAGGCTGTTGCCTTCACAGAGTAGTTGAATGCTGCCCCATAACGGGCCCACAGGCGTCTCCTGTGGAATCGCGTCTGCCCGTCTCCTTTTGAGGGTCGGGCGGCTTATGGCATCTGGCAGACCATGCATGCGGACGGCCTTGAGGACCGCCACCAGGCCGCTCTGCGACACAAAGGGGTGGCCAGCAGCAGCCACATAGACATTCATGCCGGAACTTGTTGAAGTCATGGCGCGAGTCAACTGATGACCCTGCAATGGTGAGACACGAGCCCGAATTTGGCCCTGTGTTCTTTCTTCTTCAGGCTGCGTGCAGTATGATATTTATGGTTTGGCCACGCTATAAAGAATCTAGCAGCAGCGCACTGTTGAATCGCAACTGTGCAACATATGTTCTCATCTCATGGGCATGCACATTACATCCGTTTTCAATCTCAACACTGGAGCCACTGCAGTGGCAAAAGAAAGAAACAAAAACTATTTGCACTGTCAGAGCATCGAATGTTATTTGCCTCCAGAACATACTCGCATGTATCTTGAATGCAGGATACTTGTGATCATCAAAGAAATGAAGTGGTGTGATCACATCAGGAATTTGCCAGACATCCTCCAGGCCTGGCATGGGCAAACGCCTCGATCACCTGAGGCCAAAACCTTGGTGATTGCAGGGCCAGACACGAAAATTGAAATGTTCTGGTTAATCACAATTGTTGATCTGGACCTGGTGCTGAAAAACCTTTTTGTTTCAGCGATGCATGGCACAAATTGCCACGGCCGAGTTCACTGAACATAAAAATTGGAGAATCTTCTGCGAGGAAGGCATGTGGCGCAGGTTGCCACTGCTCGCACTTTGACCGCGACGAAAGAACCACAAAGAATTACAACAGTTTAAAACAACACAAATTATACTTACACATACATGGGGGCTATGAACTAATCAGCATTGGGAATGTCATCATATGAGTCATCAATCAGTGTGAGGGCTCTTTGCCACTCAGCCTCGCAATTGTCTTCATCTTTGATTTTCACTTTTTTGTCACACCTATCACCAGCGCTCAAAAAAACTCGAAAAGCTCCTGAGTTGCGGTGAATCTTGCCCTTTCTGTACCAAGTCGTGCCTGCCTTGGGCGCTGGGACTGGCGGTCGGTTTGCCTCTGTGAAAACCATTTTCTCAGCAGCTGCTTTGGCCTTTGCACTGGGTTTGGCTTTCGCCTTGGGGGATGGGGCCACAGCATCATCGCCATCACTTGCCTTTCTCTTGGACGAAGCTGCAGCTCCCTGTGCCATACTCTTGGCAGACCCTTTTGCCGGACTCTTGGCTGCTCCTTTTGCCTTACTCTTGGCTTTTGCCTTGCCTTTGCATGTTGCTTTTGCCTTTGCAGAAGTACGTTTCTCTGGTTCTGTTTCCTTGGCTTCTGCTCTTGTCACCTGTCTTCCCTGTGTGGCTGCTTGGACAGCGGCAACCTGCTCTTCTGGTGGCACCAGTTTCGCAACATCTGGCAAGGCAAGCTGCAGCTCTTGACCTTGTGAATCTTCTTGTGACTCACCATGCGGTGTCACAGCAGCAGGCGGTGAAGCTGCACTTGACGGAGCAGTGGGTGAACGGCTTGGAGTTACCTGATTCAACTCGGTCTTGTTGCCTGCGAAGATCTTCAGGCCTGCAGGACCGGTATCCTGCTGTGCCTGCTGCTGGTTCTGGCCAAAGAGGCACATTGCCATCATTTGCATCATGTTCATGGCCATCGCATCCATGCCCGTAAAACCCATAGCTTGTTGAGCCATAGCTTGTTGCATGGCAGAAGCTACACCGCCTGATGGCATGGTAGGCGACAGCGTGGCAGGCGCAGGCATGGGAACCAAAGCTGCTCCTGCAGGTTTGGTCTTGCTGGAGCTTTTCCTCAAGCAACCCAAAGTCCCAACGCTACGGGTGGCCCTTTGCAGGGGAGGATCGTCAGCATCATAGCACTCTTGAATCATGGCCTCAGAAGGCATGTCTGGGTAGATCACAATGTGAGCTCGTTTGCTGACATCCTGCTTGGCTTTCCTTGCTTTCGATTTGAAGAGAGACTTCAACTGGTCGAGCAACTGCAAATTCTCTTTGTGCGTGCCCAGCTCCAAGCCCAGGTCACCACACACCCTCAGTGGTGCAAAAAGGACATGGATATGCAGGGCCAGAAAAAAAATAAGGCTCGCAGGATGCATGAAAAGAGCAGGGTCAGAAGGTGGCTCGCTCTACGTCCAGCTGGTTAACTGGCACTAAAAACATGCATGGTTTTGCAGCCAAGCAACTTGAGGATATGGCCCACGCTGACTTCGGTTGGCACATCGATCCCCAACCGGATCATGCGGACAGCCACTGCGTCCAGCTTGGTGTATGTGCTCACCTGCTTGTTTTGAAGGGTATCAGCATCCTTCTGCGTCAGGTACGCTGCGAAGTTCGTAATGGTTTGTTTGTTCCTCTTTTCTGTCGTGGCCGGTGCTGTTCCCTGCAGCACTTTGGCACTGATCGCAAGGACCAGTGGGCTTACCGTTGCCAGCCCGCTCAACTTCTCCTTGACATTGTCGATAAGATCTGCTGCGTCACCTGCAGAAAGAGCGCCTGGCATTGCTGATCTAGGACCTGCGAGAAGCAGTCGAGGTCCTTCTGTGCTTGGAGGAACTTCGCTGTCTCATCGAGTGAGTTGATTAGCAACTCAACAGCGGTCATTTTCCAAGCACGACTGTCGGCACTTGAGCCTGATCTGCAAACATGAGCTTGCATGATGCAAGTCTTGCAGCATGTTTTGTGCGAGTTGTTAGGAACAACCCTGCCCTTTGCACTGGTGCAGTTCTCCGAGCTACACGTGCTGACCGATATCGAGCTACACTACATATGTAAAGTAGCCCTGATTGTGAACTAGGTCTGAGAGTGCAACTAAATGGATGCACACCGGTACCACTGACAAAGCAATCACAGCAGTGTGGCCATCAAATTCTGTCTGACTCATTGTCAATGCATTCATTGCTCAACTGCAAGTGGTAGAGTTTCACGTGTGCTATTGCAGAAGGGCTTGCACAGAAAGCAAGCAAAGACACAGGTGAATGCACAGTCCCAATTTGCTGAGTTTCTGAAACAAAGTTGATGCCACAATTGGCATGCCAATTGCAGTTTAGGATACTGGAGACGCATGACAACTTCAAAAAGAATCTCTTTTTTTTTTTCGACAGGCGTATTTCAGGTCTTGAGCAACAATCTGTGCTTGAAATTTCGACATTGCGTCGGCACTGCTTCTACTTACATACCAGACCGAAGACAATGCCAACAATCAAAAAACGTTTTCAGCAGTGACTTGTGTCTCTGCGCTGGGTCACTTCTTAGTGTGAACCTTCATCACAGCCTTGCCAGCTGGCCTCTTCAACACATTGCTCTTGGCAGCTGGCTTTGGTGCAGGTTCCGGCTCAGGTTCATTGGACTTGGCCATCATCGTGGTGATCTTTGTGTTGCTGCTCTTGACTTGCTTCTCCATGTGCGAGAGATAGGTTGCCGAGATGTCAAGCTCAGTGTGCAGCCTCATGTTCGTCAAATGATGTCGCATTTTGCCCCACAATGCTGCCATGGTCTGGTCGTCCTTGATCTGCCCACTGCCAGCCCTCAGTCAAACGAGTTGGGCAATGATATGAAACGAAAAACCAGGGGAAAAGAAAGAAACATGACAGCATGGACTGGGGCGTCGGCGTTCGTTCAACAGTCAAATCAAAAGCCATACCCCCATGGTTGACAATGCCAAGCTTTCCTGTTGATACATGAAAGATAACACAACAGTAAATCAATTGCTGCTGGAAAACAAACTGCCACTGAACGTGTATGTGAAGGTGTAGTTCATTTCTCCACCGACTGGTGAGGTCAAGTCCACAGTGATCAATGGACCCCTCACAGGCTTGGCCAGCATCACCTCCCGGGTCTTCTCTCTGATGGCCACGATGCCCTGAGCAGTTGTCTCTTCCAATCTGAGTTTGAACGCCGACATTGGGGCCAACGTCACAAAGAACCTGTGACCCAGTTGCTCATTTCCTTGGAAACAAGACAGAACGCGTTCGTTGGCCTCACTCCCAAGCTTGGACCACCCGCTTGATACCGAGAACGCTTGTGTGAGGTCCCCAGGGCGCCTGGCCATGATCTTGTACTGCATCTTGGAGTCGGCCATGTCGGCAGCTGAAGCTTACGTGGCCAGAAGTCACGAATGATCTTTGAGTTCAAACCGGATGCTACAGCAAGCGAGCCAACTCATGTGATGGCCCTGCATGCAAACTCATGCGAGTCTAAGTGACCCTGCTCTATTGGTTTGACTATAGTCAGCATGCATCTGGCTCATGTAATGTGATCTTCATCAACTTGGATTGAAGATGAAAGCAGCTGTGCAACATCAAGTATCTTCCAAGGCCATGCAATGGCAAACTCTGCAGAAACACGATGGTCTGCATTGAACTCATGACGGCCATTCTATCTCAGGGCTAAACCCAGCTCGAAAACAGTGCAGGGCCATGCTCACGCTCGCACCTGATGGCCTAAGAGCGGGTCGCACCGTTTATTCATATTCTATACAATGTGTTCAAAGAAGTTGAAAACGGTTTCTTCTTTGTCGAAGCATCACTTCTAGAGCAACTGGGGTGAACCGATGTCCAGTTGGAAACACTTCTTCACGATTTCAAGATTCTGTCCAACCAACCAATGTGCGCGTGTGTTCTTTCCAACATGTATATGTAGGTAGAATACTCATATGTGTGAGCTCACAATGTGAAGTGCGCAGTATATCATCACAACTACATCACCAGAACCAAAGCGACATCAATATATCGAACCCGCAGCAGCACGGTGCCAGCTATACCAACTCAATGGTAGGTTTCGGTTTCGAGTTGGACCGCAACGTATTGATGTGAAGCCATCAGACAACGGAAGCCTGGGCTCCCACTGCAATAAGACTTGATTCCAAACCTCAGCAGCCATCAAAGAGGGTGTGCACGCATGGTCCATGCATTGGGTTGACACGCAGTGGGGAGGCCATGGGCACAGGGCCAATCAAGATTGATATGGAAAATGAAAACACCTGAGTTAGCCATAATATTTGACACTTGTTCCAACTGGAATTTTACTCAGAATCGAACCTGTCTATGTGAAATGGCCTTGGCAACATTCTCTACAGTACCCAATGAACTGCCGCATCAGCATTTTTTAGACTCCGGTTCAGGGTCATCGGAGGGCTGTACGCATGCAGTGGAGCTGAATCGGCCAGAGCAGCCAGCAGGTCCCAGCAAATTTTCATCAGAAAAAAATGAAATTCTGTAGGTTTTGAAGGACTGTTTCTGGCTTGCGAGGCCCCCAATCGCACAAATTGGCAAAATCCCAAAATTTGCATTTTTATCGTGGCGATAAAAATTGGTTCTGCCAAAATCCAGTTTTTTATCGTGGCGATAAAAATTGGTTCTGCCAAAATCCAGTTTTTAATCGTGGCGATAAAAATTGGTTCTGCCAAAATCAATTTTTTTTATCGTGGCGATAAAAATTTGGTCTTCCAGGTTCATTTTTTTATCGTGGCGATAAAAAACCAATTCCCAACATATCAAATTTTTATCGCTACGATAAAAAACTGAATTTCCATATTTTTGATTTTTATCGTGGCGATAAAAACCAACATCCTTATCAATCTACATTTTTCATTCCAAGTTGTATTCAACACAGTTTGGTGACAAGATTTTTGTGATATTTTCCCAAAATATATAGTCATACAACTGACCGATCTGATGGCCTCTCTGTGCCGCAAACTGCATGGATATTAATTACTAATTGCAAAAGGCGAATGGGTCCACCGGTCACCACCAAGTTGTCCCTGCAGGCAACTGAAGGTTGTGACACAAGTCTCCGGGGGTTTGGGACAATGTTCAAGACTTCCTCAAAACTACAATGTAAAGTTGCCATAAGTTTACTTTAATGTGGTGGTCACCAGAAAACCCTAAGCAGTGAGTCATCATGCCACCGGTTGGAGGTAACCCAATCTACTTCGAAGAGTGAAGAATGTTCCAACCACAACCATTGAGGTTCATTACACTTGATTGGGCAATGACATACATTCTGAATAGGTTTGAATCTGATGATGTAATCTGCCATCTACAGTATAGATACAGTATAGGTTTCAACACTATGTTTAAGCCATTCGCACATGCTTTACCCTTCTACTCACATTGGGGTACCTCCTTACTCTTTGAAAACCAACGAAATTAAGAATGATGAATTGTTGTATAAGTATATATAATACAGCTATCTAACCGGTGACATCCTACTGCAACTTTCGCTACCGGTAGGCGTATGCCAAAGGCTGCCCTAAATGGTGCTAGTTGCTACAGCAGGGTGACACAAATTGCACCCATCATGATTGAGATTCCATCTTATCTAATCGTGTATATATATATATATGTATATATATATATATATGTATATATATATATGTATATATATATATATATTGCAAGTAGTGTCAACTGTAGATTCAAAGAGTTTCGGTATTGAGTTTTCATACAGCCAATCATGATGAATGCTCGCCATGCCCATGCAAAAATGGAAGACCATTTCTGTAGTTTCAGTGGCAACATGGTTTCATGGCAAGTGCCCCATTTAAAGAGCTGAGGTTTCAGTTAGTGGCGCATGCCCCATTAGTGGATTAATGGTTGAATCCCTTTTTTTGGTTTCCTATCTCATTTGTTCTGGCCTTCCACCACTGATCTCGCCACGGACGCGAGATCTTGGACAGCATGCATAGCCATGGACCAGGCATTGCTGTCCCAGCCGTGCTTGCCCTGCTTGCCCTTGCCCCAGGTACTTCCTTTCCCTGGTGTGCGCTTGCGGGTGCGCCCTTGGCCATACCTGAAGTGCACGGAATGGAGCAGGGCACATGAATGCTCGCATGGACGCAGGGCCCCAAATCTAGTGGCTCGCAATAGTGTGAATCAATGATACCATATACAATGGATTGAACATTTGTTTGAATTTCAATTCCCTTGACACCCACTGAAATCACAGTCAAGTTGCGGGAAGAACTGCCCGTTCACGGCTCTGTAGCCACCGTGGCAATACTCACCACCCCAGTCGTCGAATTTGCCTTTGCCCTGGCCCTTCGAGCCAGTCGAGCCAGAGCCTTTGGCGTTGGCGCCGTATCTGGCCCACCACGGCTTTCTGCCGCCACCACCACCGCCCTTCTTGCCTCCCTTCTTCGTTTTGCCCTTCCCAGGGCGTTCCTTCGCCTTTCCACCGGCTTGGTCAGAGCCCTCAGCATCATCAGCCGGCTCCTGCCCATCATCATTCTCCTCATCATCCTTCTCCTCATCATCCTCCTCCTGATCATCCTCCTCCCGATCACCTTCCTCCCGATCACCCTCCTCCTCTTCCTTTGCATCGTCGTGCTCCTCCTGCCCATCGCCCTCATCCTGCTCCTCCTCATGGACCTCCACATCAGTGGCCCCAGGCGGCTCCCAGTGCTCTGTGCCCCACTCGCCATACTCCAGCTCCTCCGCCTTCGCAGGCTCCAGCAGTCTGAAGGCTGTGCCTGGCGCCTCCCACTCATCAGCTGCTGCAGCCTTTTGCTGTCTCACCTCCTCGGCCTTGAGCAGCATGTTGGTTTTCGCTCTGGTATTTCGCAGCTCCCTTTCTTCGAGGATGCTCTGGGCTCCCTTCTCCTTTGGCCACCTTTTCTGGACCAACCCTGTGCGGCTTCCCCCAGCTGCTGCCTTTGTGCTCGGCTTTGAGCTCGGCGCCGAGCTGCTCATGGCTCCGATGGGCAATCCTGCAAAGGTTGAGCAGTGATGTTGTAAATCTTGCAACATTGTTATAACCTTGGTTGCAAGTGTTTTGGAATATGTATGTATATGTGTTGAACTTGAATGAGAAGCTGTCAGTGCTCCGATATGGAAAACTGTGCAAGTCTGGTGAATTCCCAGTGCGCCGGGGTGAAACGGGTGAAAGTTTGCTGTTGCTGTGCCGCTGCTGTGATTGAAACAAATTGGTTTTCGCTGATGCCCAAAATGCGCAATAGCTGTTGTGTTGATACTTAAAATGCTTGGCATAACCAGTTCTCTAATGTTTAAAAAGGAAACTGCACTGCAACACTGCGATGATGTGCCAATCGGCATGCTGTGGGTGATGACTATGCGCATGCCTATCGGCATGCTGTGGTTAAATTAACGGTTGACATGTCAAAATTCATCCCGTCTTGAACCGCGGCGTAGAACGGATGGAACGAGTTGTTTCATGGAAGATTCAGAACATGAAAAGATTCATGCCAATCTTCGAAAAAAATGCACTTCAAACTCTGCGTGTGTTTGCATGGATTGTTCGTGCATGGTTTGACATGTTTTTTCACCCAAGAAGTGCTAGTTCAAAAACCAATGGCTTCAATTTCATTTGAACATGACTGTGTTTCTGTTTTGGACATTCGTCTCAATCCTGAGCAAGTCCATTGGGTTCCCAGACTATAGCACTCCGCCAATGGGCATGGGTCTTGGTGCAGGCCTAGAGCGGTGCAGTGAGGTCGCAAAAACTATGGATGCCTGTGGATAAAGATTTGAATTGTCAGTGGGACGGTAGGCCCTTCATATAGCGTTCACAGTGGCTCCACTGATTTTCCAAAAGAAGGTGATCATGAAACATGTTTGCAAGCATGTTGAATTCTGATTCAAACTGTTTTGGCATTCGTTTCACAAACAAAAACTCTTTTGCGCCATCACAAATGAAATGCAAAATGCGACCATCCCAGCATAGCGAAAATTTCACAAGTACCAGTTCATAGTTACACATGGTCACTCGATACTACATTACATCGCTAAGCTCAGCCCTCAGAGTGCTCGTCATCGAAGCGCTGACGATCAGGCGGCACGGCCTCCAGCTGGGACTCGTCAAGATCTGTGGAGTTCACCTCATTGGCCTCATTTCCATAGGGAATGGTGTCCGGGAATGTGTCGGCATCATTGATCTGGTCATCGGGTTTGCTCTTGGCTTTCGATTTGGCCGCAGTCATTTTGGCTGGGCTAGAGCCACCGATGTGGCCTATACGCTTCAGGCGTTTTCTTGGCGACTTCTTTGGGGATCCTTTCTTCTCCTTCTTCTTTCTGGGTTGTTGATGTCCTGCCCCATGCTGGACCAACGCTTTCATATAGTGTAGGTTAGGTTCATTGAGCTCTAACCATAGCTCCTTTGACGTGACACCCCAAAGTGCCTTGGCTGGCCTAGACATAAAGTACTCCGTCTTGGTTTCAAGATCAGGAAGCTGGATTGTCACACGAGGGTCCACCAAGCACCCGTCCTCCACTCGGACACGTTTGGCCTTGCGCTTGGGCACTGCAGATGCGGTGTCCCCTCCAGATTCCGGCATCTCCATCTGCTGCCGAGCACTTTCCTCACTGGCTCTCTTGCGGAGCTCCAGGAGCTTGTCGAACAGGGTGCTGTTGGCACTGCGGCCGACCCCCTTGCTCAGGTCCATCGGCTTCTGCAAGCAGAACTTCACGAAGTGCCTGTCGAACTTGCTCAGCTTGATGAAGTTGTCACCACTCCGAGTGACCACATCTGGATACCACGTGTCCATCTTGTGGACAATCGCCCAATGGGATTCGAGCTTGAAACCAGGGCCGGTGTCCAGCTCAGCATCCGATGGAGGTGCCGCTGCTGGGGCTGCCTCTGATGGAGCTGCCTCTGCCATGGAGTTCAGGAAACAAGCGAGCCAGTGCTGGCCCTGCAAAGTATGCGAGCTTGATCAGAAGCCCTGCCAGAATAAGTGTTTTGAACCATGAGCCATGCAACCGCGCACCAACTGATGGTTTGAATCTTATGCAATGATGGTTTGAATCTGACATCATGCAATGATGGATTGAATCTGACACCATGCAACGGTGGTTCGGATCTGACATCATTCAATGATGGCGTGAGTCCGACAGCATGCACTGATGGATTGAATGTCACAGTGTGTCCATCGTGCATGGATTCTCTTCTCAAAACTCTGGGGTGCCCCTGCGGCAGACACTGCACTTCCCTGACAAGGATTCACAAAATGATTCTTGGAAAATGGTGTTCAAATCTTTGTTGAATAAAACGATATGACATGATTTCGCACTAGTGCCAGTGACATGTCAATGCAGGGCCACATGCGCTCGCCCACAAATATGAAACCGATTGCAGGGCAACAACCATGTGGTATTCATCATGTTGCTCGCTAACAATAAACATGAATGCAGTGAGATCCTCACTTATTTTCACCCAAACAAAACTTGCCATGTTGCCTTGGCCTGGGCTCACGGTGCCGGAGCCTTGGTCCTCTGGCGCTTCGGCTGAGGGACTGGCACCAGAGCTTCGGGGTCCTCCTTCTGAGGCTTGGGAACAAACAACTTGAGCTCAGTGGATGCATCCAAGGCAGAGATGTTGTACATCAGAGGAATCCTCACGCTGTTGTTCTCCTGGTCTTCTGCGATCAGCTGGCGAACCTCCACATTTGCCTCAGACTCCTTGTTGGTTCGCTTGACCATCCAAAAGGGGCACAAGAACGATCCATCAAGATCACCATCACGCTTTGGAGGTCCATAGCATGGCCACAAGTACAATCCGATGTCTCGGATGGACCCCAAGGCCACAGAGCCAGGACAGGCCTTCCTTTCAATTCTCGAAGTGCTGGGGACCAAAATCAGCTTGCCCTTTGCATACTGTTTGGCCGTGAAGACACTCTTGTAAGGCTTTGTCTGCAAGACCAGGCCTTTGTACGATGCCTCATGCTGCATTTCAAGTTCAATCATCCTGCGACTGACCTCCCCCTTGACACACATGAAGTTGATGGTGTCGCTTGAGCAGGGTCGGAACTGATGAAAGTTGTCCCAGCTGTACTTTTGAATATCGGCTTTTTGTTTGGTGACCCTCCACTCACCCTTGAGGAATGATTCAATTTTGATTTCATAGCTAGTGCAAAAATCACCTTCGTCAACGCTGAGTTGCACCAGTGAGCCTTGCATGCTCGTGATGGTGGCTCGGCAGTCGCCACGAATCACATTGGCTCCTACCTGGAAGCCCATCTGATTGACCAGCTGGCATGGGTTCTTCAAATTGCCTGCTTCATCGTATTCCAACTGCCTCGGCAGTTAGAGAAAAACAAACTTGAAGAAAGAAAATGGGAAGGTGGCATGAATCGTTGAAAATCCAAATGCTAAAATCAAAAACAACGTGATCAAATATAAACAACTTGAATCAATGAATCCAAATTGCACTGAGTGCCCAGATGAGCTTGCAGAAACCACGGCCTGCAACTTGGAGTTGGCAGTGTTCTGGCCATCGAACTCAGCCGTGATTCGCTTCTTTAGGTGCTTCTCGATCTCATCCACCAATGAGCAAGCCAAAGACTCGGGGGTCTCATCTTTCATCTTGTCCAAGCATTCCAGAATCAAGTGATCTTGGAACTGATGAAACAAATCTTGAATGGCTGAGCTGGAATCTCCAAGCTTCTCCTTGTCGAGCAGTGCTCGAAACTTGACCATCAAGTCTTGAGCTTTGGTACTGCGTTGGCCCAGCTCTTTTCCCAAGAGTTTCTTGACATCCAATGCATTCAAACTCTTCTCAGCAGTGTAGGCCAACGAAAGCACGGCGTGGCGCAAGTGCAAGAACTGCTGCTTCCAGTCTTTCGACTGAGCGCTGAGCTGCACAAAAAAGTCTTTGCCCAAACTCTTGTTTGTGCTAGTGTGCCCCTTGATCCTCGTGTCAATGCCTTCCATCAAACCTTCATGGGAAAAATTCTTCAAGAAGGTGAACATGTAAGGCGTTGCCTCATGGCACTGCGGTTTGGTCTGGAGCACCTGCTTCTTCACCTGGTTCCACTCAGCATGAGGCTGGGTCCTCATGAGTGACCTCATTCTGGCAAGGATCTGCCATTCACTTTCCCCTTTGGCAATGTGACTGGACACATTGCAGGCGCTCTGGACGAGCTGAGCGATTTGTGGAGAAAAACTCATCACATCTCGGTGGATTACAGTCCACTCCAAGCCTGCATGGCAGGCATCGAACAGTGCCTTGTCAACGGACTGGATCTTGGACATGCTGATGCGACCGTTCAGTGAAACTAGCTCCTCCTCAGAAGCAACTTCGTGCAGCGCGCATTGAAGAGCAGCATTTGTGTGAGAGCAACTCAGTGATGCATACCGCATCATGGTTTCGTTGATGGCAGGAAGGAGCCCACCAGAAGATTCCACCAGCTTTCTGTTGAAGTCCACCATGGTGTCACCGGGCTGCAGCTCTGTGCACACCGGATGGGTCTGAGACCCATCAAACCCCACCGAAGCGATCATGCTTAGGAGGGTATGGGCGTCCTTCGGACACAGGCCAAATCCGTCCCGGTTTTGGCTATGCACACCGATCTCGTCGGGCTTGAGCCGCACAACGCGGCTGAGACCATTTTTTGCCAAGGTCTCCATGAGTCGGCTAGATGCTTGGACTAGTTGCCCGCCATCTTCTGCGTGCTTCAGGCACTCAGTGATGGCATCCTGAACATCTTGACTCAGAGCCATGCGTACCAGTGAGGCGCGGCAAACTTTGTCTTTGATCCAAGACTTGGCAGTATAGCGAGATCTCATGGTCCCTGCACTGCCTTTACTGAGGCGAGCATTCTATGATGCCCTGCAGAAATGTTATTCAAATCAAGCGCTTGCACAAACATAAAAAATCACATAGGTTCCTGAATCCAAACTGTTTTCTTGCATTGTGGCAAAGTGTAACATGAGCTGACCAAACCATGCAAGCAGCGCGCATCCACGTGTCAAACATGATCCTTTTACGAAATGTTTGTGCAAAAACAGGAGCTGACAAACACAAACAGAGACATGAGTTTCACATCGCAACATCCCGCACTTGGCTGATCTGCCCAGCCTCGTTCTCGAGAATGTGTGAAGCCAGCTTGGCTCCCAAAAAAAATCAGCTGCGGTGTTTCTGCATGGTCAAGCAGGTGACGGTTTGGCAACCCAAACATGATGGTGTAACCAAAACGGACACAAACCTCTAGCGTTCCAATCATTAATAGCGCTGTTTGTTCAAAAAAATACGTTGTTGTTTTGTTTGTAAAAAATGTTTCAGTCCATTGGTTACAAAAAATCAGCGAACCGTTTCTTTTTTGGCATTCAAAAAATACATCCTTGCACAGTGATGTTGTTTCTTGAACCTGTGTGGAAACATTATACGGGCCAATGCTTCAACATGACCCTGCAACTGCACATCTCACCAACTCAACTCCCCTGCAACTGCACATCTCACCAACTCAACTCAATCGATCTCTTCGCGGAAAATTGAATCCAAAAAAACGCGTGGAAATAGCAGATCCTGAAGCACGTTTGTGCGGCAAAACCAATGCCACGCCACAAAAATAAAGCGACCTCACAGCCCAGCTGGCTCCAAAAACCATGGTGCAAATCCAGAAATAGCCTACTTATAACCATGGTTATGTGTGGTTATAAGTGGGCTAAGTAGGTTAGCTAAGTAGGTTAATCATGATTATGTTACTTATCTAAGTATGGTAATTAAGTTATATTTTTTCAAGATCTACTTATCCCAATTAGTAAAAAAATAGTTTTTTATCCCAATTAGTAAAAAAAAATAATCGGTAACAATAATTACTAAGTAAGATAAACAACTTATAGAGATTGGTGGAATTATAACTTCGATAACCATAGGTTATCGAAGTTATAACCAGAGATATCGAGCTTATAACCATGGTTATAAACTTGCTAAGTAGGATAAAAAAATATAAGTACCCACGGGCATCCAAGTAGCCATCAAGTTGGCCAGGTGAGAGTCGTTCACCACAAAGTTCGCCAGGTAGTGTCACCTGCTTGCCCAGGACCCATTGCATAGGGCTGAAGCCAGCCACCGTTGTCGAAGAGTTGATCTGGGGCAACACATAGGTCAGAGCCATTCGGACTCCAGTGGTGTTGTCCAGATTGCGATCGGTCATGAAGATCTCGGCCGCTTTGCGCAAGACAGAGTGTCGGCGCTCAACTGCAGACAAACGCGTGTGAGCTTCACCTGGGGCAACTTCATGTTGGACACCAAAGTCAGTGGTCCATTCAGAGAACTCAGTGCCACACCATCCTCTCCCTTCGTCCGTCACCAGTTTGGTGGGGATGCCAAAGTGCTTGATCCAGCATCGCTCGAGGCCCTTGATAAGGTCGGGGCCACGCTCGGACTTCAGGAGAGATGCCACTTGGTATTTGGTGGCGGTGTCGACCACAGACAAAACTGGAAACTTGTTGTCGCCAATCTTCAGCCAAAGAACGTCAGCTTGAACACATTCTCCCAACTCAGTGGCTCGTTGTCGAAGAGTCGCTGGTGATGGGTTGTTGGGCTTCTTGTAGCGCAAACAGGCCACGCACTTGTAAGAGCGAGCGGCTCCAACCACAGCATCTGAAGCACCTCGACTTTGAAGAAGTTCCACAAGGGATTCTGGGCTCGGGTGCCCCAAGTTGCGGTGGAGCCGTTGGACTGTTCGCACCGCTTCTGCTTTGAGGTTGGTCTGCAACTGGATGAGTCTACCAGTGACCTCCTTCTGCTCCGGAACAGCCATAGCGTGTTCCCATAGTTGAGGTGGATCTGGAGCGTAGATCGCAGAGGCCAGTGTTGCCGCAAGGCTGGGCTGGTAGTTCTCCATGTAGGAAGTTCTACGGCCAATGCCGCTTGCAGATCCCTCCAAAGCACAGTGGTTGTGTTGCCCATCACAAAGTCGATTCATCGCCGCTGACATCGTGACCTTGGAAGTCAGAAGGGCTGTCGCCTTTTTCACAAGCTCCCATGAGCCAACAGGGTTGAGGCAGCAGCTGCCAAACATGCACTGGTGGAAGATCGTGAAGTAGCCCGGAAGATCTTTGAGTGCGGTGGTCTTCCAACTGCGAGCAAGTTCAGGCTGCTCTATGTGGGCATGTCGGGCATTGTCCACCTGTTCCATGTAGATCTGGGCAACGAACTTCAAGTGCACCTTGTGGTGTCGAGCTCGCTTGTTGTAGAGCTCCAGCTGCTGAGACTCAGTTCGAGCCGCAAGGTTCTGCATTTGGCTCCACAGCCGGCAGTCAGGGCTGATGTAAACTTCATCTGGCATCTCATCACGTTGACGTTCCAGAAAGGCACGTTGGTGCTCAGGATCATCAAAGTCCCATCCAGTGTTGGGCCCGAAACATTCGACGGTCATGCCCATGCTTTCGGCGATCTTGGCCACTCGAGCCTCACCACAGTACACTTCCCACAAGACCCGAGGTCGGTCACCAGAGTTGTGCAGCTCGGAGGTGACATAGGCATGGAGGCTGTTCTCCAACTCGTTCAAGTGGACGTCACAAGTGTCCAACAGATGGCGCTGCATAGGGCGCATGCCCTCATTTGAAGCACATTCAGTTGGGGCCATCTCAAACAGGTTCTCCATGTTGTTGAACTCCTTGAAGGACGTGGTGTTGGCTTCGGTGTCGGCTGGGGCAATCAGCTCAAACGCTGGTGGGTGAGCCAGCCAGGCCAAGTCATAGTCGTCCAAAAGTGGCAAGAGGTACTCGCCATGGGCTCCAATCACAGTGGGCTGCCAGTCCATGTCGCCAAGCTTGATGCATCGTCGGCCGCAGTCCAAGACCAAACCCAGTTGTTCCATGATCGGCCGTCCCATCAGCATAGGCGTTTCTCCCTTGAGGAGGTACATCTGGACATAGCCAAACTGGCCAGCCAGAAACATGGGCAGCTTCACTGTCCACTGGCACTGAGAGCTTGCATCACCTCCAAAGTGGAAGGTGCGAGAGCATCGCATGAACTCCAGCTGCGTGATGTCAAAGTCCATCTCGCGCAGCTTCTCCACGTAGCGCTTGAAGGGACCGTAGCCGCTCAGGAATGCTGAAGCGCCAGGGTCCAGCATCGAGCAGTCAGGTCGCTCATGGCCACGGTCATCCAAGAAGATGACAAGTCCATGCTCGTCTCCAACCACTGATTCGGTTGGGCCAGGCGCAGCTCTCTTCTTGGGGCTCCCTCTGGGGACTGGACAGCTGTAGGTCGTATGACCCTTTTGTCCACACCTCAAACATGTTGTGGATGCCAGGGCTGCTTGAGCACGTCCACGAGGGTCAGCTTTTCCAGGACCACGTGGTGGGTACTTCACGGTCGTGCGACCACCCTTGCCCTTGTTCTTCCCCTTTGGGTTGCCTTTCCCTTTGCCTCGACCAGGTGAAGACGAAGGTGAGGCCGACGGCGAAATGCCAGGGGAAAGTCCAGCACCAGCTTCGCTGAGGGCGACGATGGGCAAGTAGCCACGTGCCAGCTTGATGTCGTTGAAGCGCTTGCGAGCATCAAGATAGGCTGCAAAGGCACTGTCGTACTCCTCAGCTTGCTCTTGTGGGTCTTCTGGAGGAGCTTCATCACCATAGTAGGCTGCATCATCGTCAAACCCAGTGGTGTCCTCCTCATAGTACCCGTGGTGCGAGGGAGACTCATAGTGGCTCGGTGAGTCATTGTGCTCCGTGTAGTACTCGTCGTACTCATAGTAGACGGAGTAGCCGTCATCATCATGGTTGTAGGGCTCATCCCATTGGCCTGAATCATCGGCTTCATCCTCATAGAAGGCTGCATAGCCACGACCTTTTCCTCTGTGGCCTCCTTTGGAGTGTCCAGCCGCAGTCTTGAAGTCTTGGCCCAGCACCAGGAAGAGCGTCTCCTGAACCTTGTTCTTCTCCAGGCTAGGGGCTTGCGTCAGCACCAATTGACGCTGTTCACGCGTCAAGCCAGCACGTCGTAGGAGATGCCACCCTTGAACCTGGTTGGGCAACATCACCTTGTGGTCGGCCAACCTGTTGTAGAGCTCGTCATGCAGGGTGCAATAGTCCAGCAACGTCTGACCACTGTGTCGCTGGAAGCCACTGAAGTACTTGTCGAAGTCGCCAGGGAGTTGAACTCTGTTGTCATACTCAAAGGCCTTGTCCAACAACTTCATCAGACGGTTGAAGGCATCGCCCTTCTCCACATCTTCCAGCAGGAAAGTTTCTACAACCTTCCAGGCTGTTCCACTCAAGCTGGAGATCAGGTTGAGGACACCTTCCGTCTCCCGCTTCAACAGCTTCATCTTGGTCATGTAGAGGGTTATCCTCTTCCGCCACTCGCGGTAGTCACTGGGTGCACCGCTGAACAAAGGCACATAGTTGTCCTTGGTCACGGAGTTGTCACCAATGGTGCTCGCAGCTGATGACATAGTCCAGGCTGTAGTTCCAGTCGCCTGCACAGGGCGAAGCGCAAGAGGCCTGCTCAGGGCCTAGCACTGCAGCAAAGGGCCAGCTCAAGGCCGTAGTCCAGAGAGAGACCTGCTCAGGGTCTAGCACAGCAATGGGCCAGCACAAGGCCAAAGTCCTGCACAGGGCCGGGACCACAAGGTCCAGTGCAGCGCAGCCAAGGTCGTAGAGCTCGAAGAACTGATCTGGTCGTAGACCTTGTCCTCCAAGCGAAGCCACGGAGCGCAAAGGCTCCGCTGCCAATGCGAAGTCCAGGGGGGTGTCGGCACACAAGGTCCGATCCGCCTAACGCAGCTGCAAAGCTGCCCGCAACCTTTCACGAAGAGGTCGCGTCACCGTAG